TTAAGAAAGGAAGAATATTTTTTTCTTTTACTCTTACATTTATATAGCGTAACCAAGTGCATATTATTATGCAAATTAATATCACTGGAGAGCAGGTATCTTCCGATAGTTCTTTCCCTTTCTAACCTTTTTCGGTGACACCTATCTATTATACTTATAGGTACTTATATGTTAATTGATCTTTTTTTATAAAGTTTGTATTTAAAAATAACCTACATTAATTTTTTGGCGAAATTTTTTTATTAAAATATCAATAATTTTATTTGTATATCAAATTTCCTAAGTATTTAAGTAGGTTCATTAAACATATTTAGCGCAAGCAGAAAATCCATGAATTATTAATTTTTATTAGTATGGGTAGGAAAATATACCCACCCCCTACAAATTGAAATTTATTTCAGATTTGGAATACCGACCTAGTAAATTGTATAGGTACCTAGGTACCTAGGAATCCATAAATAAAACACAACTGTCAAATTTCTCCTTTTCAGATATTATACTTTTTTATTTTATACTGTCCTGATAAAATTGATATATTATTAATTCAAATATTATTTATATTGGTACCTAGATACCTAATAGATATCTACCAGCTAAAACGTATGTATATATACAAATCATCAGAAATCTAAAAATATCTAGGGTTATGATTGCTTTTGCAGATATTTTTTAAGTTTCTTTAAAAATATAATTTTACAAATAACAAAAAAAAATAAAAATTTTACTGTTTCAACAATTTTTAAGTTCCAATAACTCAATTTTCGTAGAGTATTATTCTTTTGTTTATCTTCTTCTTAAGTGAAAATTAAAATATTTAAAACAAAAATTATTTAGCTACACTAATAAAATTATTTGTTATAAAAAAAATTATTCCAATAAATATTTGTTTCCTAATTAATATTTTTATATTATATAAATTTTAAGGATTTATTTATAATGTGTCTTCTTTAATAATAGTAAATATTTTAACTAAATATAAACATTAATATATCATAACTATTTCAAATCTAACACTCTCTTAACTATTAATATTTTAATAAATATTTTCGAATTACTAATAAATCATAATTTTAACAAAAATAAATATTTCTTAACTATTATCAAAAGCAAAAATCATATCCACTCTTGTTGCACAAACTACTTATTATTTACTATCAACAAAAATATTTCCGTGATATATTTGGATATTTAATCTCTTCGTCTTCGAGTGATATGACCATCATATTCACTCTTATTGTACAAATTACTATTTTCTACAATCACATGGATATTAGCTATTCTACCCACAGACTACAAAATGAATATATTTCATATCCATTCTAAGTAGTAAGAACATTGCAAAAAATATGAAATTAATCAATCACGGTTCATATTTTGACCATCCAGCTATTATTTTTTTTTTTTTTTTATTTTAAATAAGTGACAATTCTGTCAAACTAATTGCTAGTATATTTTTTAGTTATTAAGATTAAATTTATGTTAAAATTAGTTATTTTTGTGTAGAATCGATATACTTAGTAGGTTGTGCAACAAGAGTGGATATGATGGCCATATCGCACGAAGACGAAATTTGAGCATGACGCCGTAGGCGGAGTGCTTAATCGTCTGAGTGCAATGTGGACAATCCACTCGAGTTGTACAGTATATTTTTTCTACAACCCACTAACGAAAATTTAAATTAAAACAATATTTTATATTATTAAGACTAATTTTAAAATAATTTATGACTTTTAATAATTTTTAAAATAAAATCCCATCTGAGAATCGAACTCGAGTCTTCTATGTAGAAGGCAAGAACGCTTATCAGAGGACCACCTATTCTTTTATTTTTGTTGCTTTAATACTCGTAATTAAATTGACTTCATATAGTTTTATTTAAATTGACAAATTATTTACAATTATAGACGAAATAAAAACAGAAATGCCATTATTTATCTATTCTATACAATATTAACCCATTTTAATGTATGTTTAATCTCAATAACTAAAAATTATACTGGCAATTAATTTGACAGAATTGTCACTTATTTAAAATTTTAAAAATAATAGCAGTGAGTTGATAAAAATATGAACGGTGATTGGTGGATTTCATTTTTTTTGCAGTGTTCTCACTACCTAGAATGGATATGAAATATATTCATTCAATTGAAGGCAATAGCATACTTTTTCGTTTTGTGATCTGTGCGTAATATCCATGTGGGTGTAGGAAAAATAATTTTCATTTCGTCTATTTTTACAAATAACTATCAATTTAAATAAAATTATTTACCTATATGAAATCAATTTATTTAAAAATTTATTAAAACTAAAATGAGTGACGGTGGACTTAGGGCACTTAGCAGTCATGCGAGTTCAATTCTAGGATTGGAAACTAATTAAATGAAATTTTATTTTTTAAATTAGTAAAAGTTATATATTATTTTTAATTAGTTATTGTATCTTAATAACCTAAAATATTTTCGTCATTGGGTCGTAGAAAAAATATACAGTAGGTACCTATTGGATATTAATCTTTATTTCAAATAATTTTGACATGTTTATATTAAATTTTATAATCCTTTGTATTATAGTATAACAAGTAAAATTGTTTAATAGGTAGGTAGATGAATGAATATGAATATATTTTTTATTTACACAGTTTTACGATTTCAGTTCTACAAGTAAAATCAGGTAATCAGGTATATGTTGTATGCTAAACAAACAAACAAAACATAACCTACATTTACCTAAAATCAATAATTTAGGATACATTTATTTTATATATTTTATAATATAATATGTAGGTATTCTAATTAATGAAATTTGATATCTAATAGGTATAGAAAATTAATACAGGTAATTCTTACCTAATATAATCTAAAATAGATGTTTTTAAATTATGCTTATTTTAATAATAAACATGTTTGGAATACTACCTATATTAGATATTATTAAAACTCTCTGGTTACCTACAGGTTTATAGTTAAATAAAGCACACATTTTCTACTTAGGTAATGATCAATCCAAATTTTAACAGTAAGTATTTCTATTATAATTATAAAAACTTAACTTACAAGATTTTACTATTGTAAACAAGTTGGTATCCAATTACAAGCACAATAGATCATCATATCACTTACACCACTAATAATTTCGAAAAAAAAAAAAACCACTACAATATCTTTCACTTGTAACCAAACGAAGCAAGACGCGTTCCTTTAATTTTGTCAGTCAGGATGTAAAATGGACCTGAGTGCCTTTTAAAACGGAATTATTAGAGATAAATAAAGTTTTCCTAATAGTGAATGAATTGAAATTGAAAACAAATATTGTATGGTTAACACTAATTATGATTTGTTACTATTAGGTAACAAAATATTGGACTGTACCATTTATTTATTCATAATTTATAAGTATGTTTTAAATTTAAATACTAGGTACTTATATTAATTAATTAATATTTAAAGTATATTTGTTAAAATTTAAATGTTTGATGACAAATACACCATTTATGTTTAGTAAGTGAGATGATAGTTTTATATAGATAAATATAACGACATTGTGTCAATAAAAACAAATCTTGTTAATATTAATATTAGTTATAAAACATTTTTCTCAGTGTAGGCAGGTACCGTCAAAAAATCTTTATAGAGTCTGATTAAAGCCAGCTGAAACGTTTGTAAAAAATTATAACTACTATTTTGAAACATTTTATAAACTTTCAAAATATCTAAATAAAAAATAAAGCTTTGGTACATAAATCTATCTACCTATGAATTACGTGATATCTAAATAACAATTTCTATAAATTAAATTTAAAAATTATTTTTTATTTATTTATAAACATTAATTTGTCTTGAAAGCTTCTCTGTATTAATATAGGTAGGTACTAAACAAAAGAGGCAGTAATGAAATTTTTAAAACAAACTAATATAATCAATTAGAATTAAACTAATCAAAATCGATACCACAATATAATAATAAGATACCTACAACCGAGCAACTAGTTTCGGCCTATGGGGCCATCATCCGGCTTGTAATAAAAAATTAAGTGTTGAGAGAAGGTTTACAAAACATATAGGAATAAGAAAAAAATACAAAATTCATCCATCCAGTGGTATGAAGTGATATCTATATGAGGGTGCACACTATATAAAAATGTAATACAAATTAGGAAAAGAACCACATGAAAAGAATTTAAATATTAAATATGGAATTTAAGAAATTGAAGAGTATATGGAAACTTGTTACTGAGGAGTAGAAATACTCCCAGGTAATAAGAGATGAGTAAGTAAACTGTTTTGATATTTACATTATGTAAGTATTACACCATATTATTATATACGTACCTTCTCTAAACACATGTATTACAGGTCTGATGATGCCAATGATGGCCACATATACCGAAACTAGTTGATCCGTTTATATATTATTATTTATATTGTGGTATTGATTTCAAATAGTTTTATTTTTATTGAATATACGACCACATTTGAGAAAAATGGTTAATCTTTCATTCTAATGAAAGCAAACTAAAGAAAATAGCGGCTTACTACTCGTGTACACCCGGTAGGTAACTACTGAAAAACAAAAACAACTAATTTTAAACGAATAAACTTAATTATTCAATGTTACAAATATTTAAACGTTTTCGAAATTTCTTACTGTGTATAATTATTATCATAAAACAGCAAACGCAGTTACTTATTCTGTCGTTAAATAATATCCCGTCATTCCCCACCGGATCCTTTCAAGAGAGCAAATTTTTCAATTTATTTCTTCTTCCAGGCGAATCTTCAAAGCCAGCTTTTGACATCGGCACATCGACCGGCGAAACCCGTTGAAAAACAACTCTCAACCACCCGCAGAAAATGTCCCCAGAACGCCAAACTCCAAAACAAAAAACCCCGGACGGCCGTGGCGTCTAAAAAAGCCACAGCCACACCTCCATAGGCATAACCGAGCAACTCCTGCCCACCAGAAGTGTGAAAGTGGTGGGGGAAATGTCGCCCTGCGATTGGCCTAAACGCCAACACTGACACCCGTCGGCCAATAGCGCCGCGTTACCGTCATTAACACAGCCAAGTGTTGCCTATGTGGGGCTCGCTCTATAGTTCTCTACTGTCTTCTCGTCGGGCTGGAGGTGTTACGATTCACACTCACTGTTAACCCTTATTTTCACAAAGATAACAAAATTCGTCGCGGAAATTCAACCCGAATCAGTGCGTGGACTACAAACAAAAATTTAGTGAAGTGATTTTTTTAGTGATAATAAATAAACAAAAAAAAAAACAATGATTCAGTGCGAGTTATAAACTTTTTTTTTTTTCGAAAGATAATGCTAGAAAAAACGACGCAACTACGTTTTTTATGATTTATTTTGAGCGGTGGATGAATCTTAGCGATTCTGCCGCGTTAAATTCAAACAAATGCGTTTCGAAACAGGAATAGACTCTGTGCTAGACTCGTCAAAGTCAAAAAGTACTATGGCCTATCATCCCTTCTTGCAGCTGCCCAGACAAACAGACTTTAGTGTATCCTCGCTGCTGACGGCCGCCAACAATAATTCCGGCAACTCCACGTCGCCAGCTGGGCCGGGATTTTTTCCGTCGGCAGCGTTGGCGGCCTTCGGGGCCCAGCAGAATCACGGATGCTATCCGGGGACGCTTATACCAAAAATCAACCACCCCCATCCGCACCATGCGTTGACAGGGCATCCTTATACCACCGCCGAAGACGTTGTTTTGGCCGCCGTCGCCGCTCATAATCATCATCCTGCGATGGTGCGGCCTTTGAGGGCTATCCAGCCCGAAGAAGACGGTGTAGTGGACGATCCTAAAGTTACTCTGGAAGGAAAAGACTTGTGGGAGAAGTTTCATAAGTTGGGGACTGAAATGGTGATAACTAAAAGTGGCAGGTAAGGCGATATCTTAATTTTATTTATTCCTAATTTGTTTAAAAATAATTATTAACATAAAACTGATGATGGTTTACACGAAACGTTGTAATAAAATACAGATTAATACACTTGAATCAAAAATGGAAATATGATGAAGTTAAAATTAATGTCACACACAAAATCATCGATCTAATATGCTAAAACAAATAGTTTATAGGAAACAGAAATATAAATAACATTTAAAAAAAGACATGCATCCTAATCCGGAATTGCTTCTTGATGTAATTAAAATTATTCACACGCTCAAAAAACTACTTAGGTATCTAATAAATTTAGAAAACTAAAAACTATACTTTTGTGATTTTATAATAGTTATGAAAGAGCATTATGCTTTTATATCTAGATTATTAATTAGTTCCATGTAAAAATTATGATATAAAAAACAAATTGGAACATTTAAAAAACAGTAAATTTCAGCTATTATATAAAATCCAATCGTGAATGAATTTTATTAATTTATATTTGAAATGATAACTAAAAGTGTCAAGTAACATGCTACCGTGATTTTATTAATTCCTAAATTGTTTAAAAATAGTTATGAACATAAAACTGATGATGGCATACACAAAACGTTGTAAATAAATTCAGATAATTAGACTTGAATCCAAAATGGCAGTATGATGAAGTTAAAATTTAGTGTCACACAAAATCATTGGTAAATAATCTATTTAAACAAATAAAAAATATCTAAAAAGTCTTAGGTATACAAAATTATATGTGATTAATTTTTTATATTACCTATTATAAAGTAGGAACAAACTATTTATTTAAAAAAAGTAAATAAAAATATGATGATAGTTTATACGAAACATTTAATAAAAAAAAAAAAATAAACAAGTAGATTCAATTACAAAATGATTTTACAATCTTGTTAATACTAGGTACCAAATATATTTAAAAAAACTTTTATAATTTTGTGACTTTTTTAATGGTTGTGAACGAATCGTCCTTTTAAATCTAGATGAATTAATTAGTTCAATATAAAGATAATTGATGATGATAATATGAATTGCAAGTAAATTGAATATCCGACAAAATTTATAATATTTGAAATGGTTATAGACAACTAAAAGTAAGTTACGGCATTACCCAAAATTTTATTTATTCCTTAATTGGTTAAAACTAGTTAGGTATCAACATAAAAAACTGATGATGGTTTACACGAAACGCTGTAATTAAATTTAAATAAACTTGAATAAAAAATGGCAGTAGGATGGAGATTAATTTAGTGTTATAATCATTGATACCTAATCTGTTAGACCAAATAAAAAATATACCCAAATCTTGCTAAGATGACTAATTTTTATAAAGTAATAGTATCTAAACTAAAAATACGATGATGACTCTTTTGTGACTTTTTTAATAGCTATCAAGGAATTATCAATTTATTAGTTCCATGTAAAAATAATGATATGAGAAAAAAATCATCGATACCTGTACCTAATATGTTAAAACAAATAAAAAATATATAATTTACAAAGTTATTCCTAAAGGTGACTAATTTTTATATTTTAATAAAGTCCAAAATAAAAAACAGTAAAATCCAGCTATTATAAAAATTCCAATGCTGAATGAATACCTGGTAAAATTTAAAATATTTAAAAAAAATCTAAAATCTCAAATTTTTACCTATAAAATTATAACCAGTGATTAATTTTTATACATCGATGAAATCATTAATTTACAGTGACAAATAATGAATGATTATAGTAAAAAAATTAATTCCTTCTACAACAATATTCTGAAGATAAAAATAGGTATTCTAAGAATTAGATAATCCTGTTTTAAAATCGTTTTTAAAAAAATCCTTCGAATAATTTTTATAAAATTAAAAAATATATATACAAATAAATACTGAATATGGACTATATTCACCGAAATCTCTAGAAGAGTATGATTTTCAAAAATAAAACAGTATAAATATGTCTTAAAATCAGTTGTTATAAGGTACATAAAAACCGTTATTTTAAATAATTATAAATGTAGTGCAACAATTTTAGAAAATTAATCAGATAAAGATGTACAAAATTATATTTGAATTATTAAGAGACTTTCAAAAATAAAAACTTCATGTAGGTACTCCAAAATTAAAAAGTTAAGTAAAACGAATATCTGAGATTAATTATTTTTTTTTGCATAGGCACATTGCCATTTAGCCAGACACTGATTTCTTTGTTATTTATAAATATTTTAATTTTTTTAAATCATTCAAACAATTGTAACAGCAATTTAATTAGGATTAATAAATGATAACTTTTAATATTCGTACATTTTTTTTTTATTACAAAAATTTGCTAGGTAATTAATTTATGCCAGAATAGAATATAAATTATTAAATTTGTACCAACGCTGTAAATAATACTAATAAAATTCTAATTTACATACTAATGGGAATTATAAAACTCTGAAAGAACTGTACTACAATTTTTATATCATTATATAGCGATATAAGTGTCTCCATGAAACTCTGAATTCATTAAATTATTTTGTTGATTTGAAACGCAATTTTAAATTTATATTTAGTACTTAGGTATCTATCTAAAGTAATAATAATATTTCAAGCACCAATTAACACAAATACAATGATAGAATAGGTAAAAAATATTTTTATTAAATAATATATAATATGTACTTAAAATAATCATTAAAAAATTTTTCGAATCACCTAACCAGAATTGCTTATTTTAGATTTTTTGCAAAACACATTTACGGAAAATTAAAGGAACCTACTATTTATATGAATACACTAAAGAAAATTACATTCAATTCAAGAAGAAATTATAAATTAATTACTCCTTGAAATATAATTACTTTTAGGTATTTCATATCTTCATATTTAATAAAACCACCCACAATTTTAATAGAATAGATTTATAAAATAAAAATCTTTAACCAAAATAAAAATTAACATAAATCAATAAAATATATTTAAAAAATTTAAAAAATATATTTAACAATCCCTTGAAAAAAATTAAAAATATAATTTTAAAATTATTTGATACCTTTACATACAAATTTTACCTACAAAAGCACCTAATTCTTTATTATTGTCTACTGACAATACTTATTTGTCCATTTTTAAAAAGGCACCGTTTTTACAAGTATAAATCAACATCTGCAACATATTTATTATTTTAACTCTAAATTTGATGAAAATCATTAAATATTTTAATGAAACATTTCATACGATATAATTATATCAATATTTATTCATAAAATGTGAACGCTTTGATAAACAAATTTTAAAAAGAATTGTCTACATTATTTGTTATATTTTTAAATTTAATAGTTCTCCATCCCTATAAAGATCACATTTTAAAACAAAAATTAATTAAATCTAAAATTATAAATAAATCAATTAGGTAATTTATAAAACATATTTATTTTAATCTAGATAGGTATACGTTTTTTACCCATTGTAAGAATGTATTAAAATTTAGGTGATATTGCTTAGGTACCTATTCAAATTGTTCAGACATTTAATATCTACAATTTAATTCATTTGATGAACAAATGTTAATAAGATTTGTGGCATGTGTTAAAATTACCAGCTTACAATTTTTTTTTGAAGCATAACTGGAAAATACCTAAATATAACATTTATGGAACAATTAAGTAATCCCAACTTTTATAAAAAAGAAACAAAGCGGAAGAGCTTTTTAAAAAGATTGTAATGGCTGCTGGATTTATAAGCTTAAAATCCCTTTGAAAAATAATTTTTATACAAGTAAACTAAGTTTTATCCAAAATATACAGGTAGGTACCTATAAGTTTAATAAATTTTAAAGCTATAAGAACATAACAGTTAAATTTAAACGCTTTGAAGATCAAACTTGAAAAAAATATTTGTCCTGCTCAAAGTACTTATTAGGAATATTTATAAAATTAAAACTTTTACATCGCTTAGGATAACAAAGTTTAAAACAAAACTAAAAAACCTATATAAATAAATCAACCAAGCGGTAAAATATTTATTTGAAACCTGTATTTTAAATAAAGCCATAAATTAAGCGTACTTTATATACAGTTTTTCTTAGTTAAATTACTTTATTATAGCCAATTTCTACTATCTTAAAACAAGACTAATGTACAACACAAATATTTAAATGCATTGCTAATAAGTATTTTGCATATGTAAGTGTTTAGATTAATTTTCATTTCACTTTCAAATCAGCCGGTTTTCTAAGAAACACACTCTAACTTGTCTTGTAAGTAAATGATTTACGACGCCGTTTCATGTTGTGACAAAATCATGTATACATATTTTATATATTTATTATTGTTTTTGTCATATTTTTCATGCTCCGTTAGCTTCATTATATATTTTTATATAAGTATTTAAATTCAAATAGAAGTCTTTAAACTTTAATAACAGATGTTTTAATAAGGCTATAACGAGATTTTGGGTAATAAAAGTTGAAAAAACCTCTAATTATTTCTATAAATCTACTGTAGTGCTTTAAATTATAATTAAACACTTTTCTGGACAGAAATAATTAATATGTGTGAGAAAGAACGTTTAAGGTTTTAATTAAACGTTAATTATTTTACTTAGGTCAACAATGCCTAGTAACAGTTAATCCAAAAATGTACCTTTTTTAAGAATAACTTTTATTTCTAATACCTACTATACTTCACCACAATTCTATCTATATAATTTGAAGTACGTAGGTATCAAAATCATTTAACTTAAAAAAAAAAACTAACTGGCATCTTTGCTATTTTTTTTTTATTTTTCAAATAGTTAATACGTCCTTTTATTTTTAGCAATTTTTAGAATATTAGTTTGATATTTCTATATTTTATATGGTAATGTTTTACTTATTTTCACTAAATTTGTAAAAATTTTGTAAGTATTGTAGTTTTTTTTTTACAAAAAACTATATAAATTTGTTATGTTACCTATAGTATGTACACATAGTATTTAAAATGTTATTGTTCACTGTTTAAAAAACTGG